CCCTCTCTCCCTCCTAGGTCGCTGCCACCCCACCCACCGCTGCACCCAGAACTACGTGGCAGTGTAGTGCATTGTGGGGAGGGGGCCCCGTCAGCCCAGGCAACACACAGCCCTTCCTGATTAATCCCATTCACCTGCCTGGCCAGATGCCAGTGGTTGTGCCAAAGATCAGTTCATTCACAGGGACTCTGCCTTCAAGTTCCTTAAAATCCTACTGAAGACAAACCTAGAGCAAAAAGGAGCAACTGTTACCCGACTGTGTGACAGTGACTCTAACGACCGGACATTCAGCGTTCAGAGAAAGGAGATCTCCGGGAGCACAGGGGCGCCCGTGCTGGCGTGGCGTCAGCCTGCACTGGTCCGAGCCGCACGGCCCTGGGGCGGCCGACCAGGGGCAGGTGCACACGAGGAAGCCGTCGGCAGTGTGCCAGGACAGGCCTGGGCAGTGAGAGGCACAGGAAACCCATGCAGGGCGATGACACCACGCAGCAGGACGAAGCAGACGCCTACTCTCCGTGCACGCGCTCTCCTGCGCTCCACCTCCTACAGAAATACCAGGGGGGAAGCGGGCTGTTCTCATCGTCATCAGGTCAGTCGCCTGTTGGCTTCTGTTAGATTCTGGTCACATTTCCCCAAATTCAGCCAAGCGGTGATGCCCCCACCGCTTCCCTGAACCAACAGAGTCCGCGAACTGCCCACGGGCCATGCCCCATCCGCCCGCCGGGGCGCCGGCAGGGAGGCAGGCCCCATGAGCAGGCATTTGCTTCTGCGGTCTCACTGTGTCCAGATCTGATAATAGCTAATTCCACCAAATATTAGAGGGGGCTCACATTTAATTAAGGAGTGGCCATTTGTATGCTCCAGACTGGAGGTCCCCATGGCCCTCAAGTCAAAAGAAGAGTCCTCCGGGAACATGCCAATCTTCTCTTATTTTCTCTGCTGAGCTCCTGCCTTCTTTGAATGCAATTATGGGAACAAATAAAATGGCTTAACTCAACTCCCCTGTGGGCCAGCCAGCTCTCTGCCGATAAAACCAGTTGTGTGGGCAATCATTAAATGAGAAATCTAATATTTAACTAAATTGAATAGTCTGTTGCTTTGGTGCCTCTGCGAAGGGTGGGATTTCAATACAGAGGGCGAGCTATTCAAACGCAGTCTGTAGAGTCAGTGCTCGATGAGAACGTTGCGCGCTCCCACTCGAAGCCGGCACTCCGGGGTCCAGGAACGGACAGGCTGTTCCGGAGGCGAGCCCGTGTTGTCGCTAGCTCCAGGCGAGCTGAGCTCGGTGGGCAGCAAAACGACTCTGCAAACCTAAGCACGAAATTTCTCCTTCAGGATCAGCATCGGAGATTGCTGAGTGATGCCGGAAAGACCGAATTCAAACGCGTGCCCACGGACGGAGGAGCGTGTCGTGATAAACTGAGAGGCTCCGTTCGGTCCTCTTGCGTTTTGAACTCTGGTGGTCCAGTTGGCCTTGCCACCAACAAACTTCCCCAGCTGAGGCTGTCGCCTGCACCCCGGAAGCAAACGCATGCTGCTGCCTCTCGGTGGCAGTGGGCCGCCTTTGTTCTTGTTGGTGAAGACGGTCTACTCATGTGCCTGCTAATTCCCCTCGTCCAGCTTGGCCCACATTTGCACACCCCTAGTCCCTTACCTGGCTCCACCTGGGCTTATCTTGTGGGCACACAGGGAGGGAAAGATGGCAGGTTCCCTGAAGATCGAGGCTTCCAGAAGAGCTGTGCACTGGCTCTTGCACTGAGTGCAGGTCTGGGGCAGCGTCCATGAATTCCATACTGGTCCCGGCGTTAACTCAGTGTTAACCTGCGTCCGCCGGGACTCCATCAAGTACCATACGCTTTCCCGTCAGTGCAACGGAAGTGCGCTTTGGTTTCGCCGTGGGTCGTTTCATGCGGGGAACAATGGTGGAGAGGCTTCGACTGTGTCAACTCTCACCACTCGACAGGCCTGAAACCCTGGGAACCCCTGAAAGCCCCCAGGCTTCTGAAGCACCCAGGAGGACCTCCCAGTCCCTCCCAGCTTCTGCAGCAGAGACCCTCTTGCGGCCATGGAAAGGGGCCATGTGGGAACAGGGAGAAAGCGTGGGGAGAAACCCAGACTTGGCTCCTGTGGGGATGCGCCATTTCCGGGGTATGAACTGGATTTCCCCATCTACTCAGGTGACTGGAAACTCTTGCGTTTCGTCCCTGGGATGGGACCAAACACTGATGCCTGGGGAGTTGGAGGGTGGGAAAGAGTCTGACGAATGACCACAACTCTTACCCTTGGTGTGAAGAGGGGTACCTGAGATAGACTTCTGCTTGACGAGGTGATGTTTGACCTGATGGAGGAGGAGCCAGCAAAAAAACTTCCTTCAGAGGGAACAGCAAGTGCAAAGGTTCTGTGGCAGCCAAGAACTTGAAAAATGCTACTTTTCTCCTTATCCTGCAGAACAACCTTCTAGACTTCCCACCCTATCGTTGTGACTAGGATACGGATAAGAAATAGTTAATATCTCACAAACTAATTTCTCTCCACTGAGTGCCTGCAACACTCTTAACAGGAGGAGGGCATTTAGACTCAGCAAAACCTGAGTGCTGCATCGGCTCTCTGAGGAGTCCGGGCTGTGGACATGGGGTGGGCAGCGGGGCCACCTGCCACCCTGGGGCTGCGCTCCTTCCCTAACTTGCGTGCATGGCCAGAAGATAGAGCGTGCCGTCTCTCAGCCACATCTCCGGGTCTCCGAGTTGAGGCCAGGCGTGCTTGGACCTCCCTGTACATCCCTCGCAGACTCAGGTGTCCCGACTTGCTGTCTACGAAGGACCCCATGTCTTGGCTGCCATGTGGTGTTCAGAATCTTTCACAATCTTGGTCCAACTTAAGAGGTTTTTACCTTTAACTCTACCTGTTTGAAAATTTAGTTTTACCACTTCCCCCCTCACCTTTACATCAAAGCTGAAATTTTTTTTTCCTTTTTTTAAAATTAATGCTTATTTATTTTTGAGAGGGAGAGAGACAGAGTGTGAGTGGTAGAGGGGAAGAGAGAGAGGGAGACACAGAATCGGAAGCAGGCTCCAGGCTCTGAGCTGTCAGCACGGAGCCCGACGCGAGGCTCGAACTCACGAACCATGAGATCATGACTTGAGCCGACGTCGGATGCTTAACCGACTGAGCCACTCAGGCGCCCCCTCAAAGCTGAATTTTCAAATATGTGTCCAGCAACTGGAACTGTCCCTTTCCACTGGCCCCTGAGGGCGTTTGCCATTTCTGCTCCCAAAGAATCCCCCGGGTCCCTGAGCACCACTGGTAGCCTTGTGCTGTTCACAGATAACACTGCCCAGCGCTGGAGACTCCTGGTCCTGGGCGATATTTGGCCTCCAGGTGCCTTCGTGCTAAAGGTGTCACTTAGGGTGTCTGTTGTTCTTAAAAGGAGTTTCTATGGGGACAGTTCACCGTTCCTTGTAGCATTGCATGTCGTGTGAATTTACTCTTTAAAATATTCATGAATGTTTCAAGGTGGAGTTCCTTGCAGACAAAATTTCCTTTCGTAACGAGCCACAAGGTGTCCCCACGTATAGGCTCAAAGAAAGAGAGGAAGGAGGAAGTCAAATCCGGTGGTTTTATTACAGAGCAGATGGTGGAGTAGGAGGAAGGAGGGGATTAGTGAAGTGGGCTGATGAGAGCATCCTTGCACCTGGACAAATACCACTGGGTGCACGTGCATGTAAGGAGCCAGCATAGGACTGACCCCTCTGTCTCTAATTTGGAGGGGAAAGGGCCAGTCTCGCTGCACTGTATCACTGCCAGCTAATAGGATCATCCAGATTAAGGTGTGCCAAGCCAGACCACATTATGAGTCGGGTGAGAGATCTGAATCCACTTTTCCTGTAAAATTTTAATAAAGAGCATACTCCAGCCTCTAGTCTCTTTTCTTTCCTTGGTTATTTGTTGCAGACTTTGAGTCTGGAGTTGTGTCTTGTCCAGCAAGAGAGCAGACGCAGAATTGAATACGAGAGAGGCTAATGTCCGGGAGGGACAAGAGCCCCAAGCAAGGGTCCTTGCTCCATATTTATTAGGATCAGAAGGCTTACAAATGTGATGGACATGCAGAAAGAAACAATAAAACAGTGAGCATTAACTTGTGTGTGAGAGAAAGGGGGTTTCAAAGGTATGCAGTGTTAGGGGTTAGGGTCAATACAAATCAAAATGCTGACGCTGAGCAGACGGCCATTTACTGCAGGCATCAGTCACCGTGTCTGTTTATCTGAACTTTTCTAGGGACTAAGTCAGAGAGAGCATGCTACCTCAGGGTTAACAAGGCATTTTTCTTGCTAGTTAGCTCTGAACATCTTTGCCCTGCTGTGGGGCTTTCCACTTCTACCTGTTCTCAGACGCTTTCATCCTGTGGAAGTGGCTTTCTGCTCGACCCCTTGTTCTACGCTGGGGGCGCTTTCGCCCTGTGGCGGCTTTCTGCCCTAAGCCTTGTTAACCCAGGCTTAGGTTAGGTTAGGCTTAGGTTGGGTTTTGGTGCAAGCTCGGGGAATTCTTAAATGTATTCCCCACCGTTATTGTGGCCACTATATTCGGAAACTCATCTGTCCTAACAGGTATGTGATGTTGGTTTTCCAAAACCAGCAGTGTTGGGATAAAACACACCCAGACCTATGCGTGTGAGTGAGAAATGCCTTGCGGAAAGATGATATACGTGTGAGTGAGAAATGCCTTGCAGAAAGACGATTTATGGGGGGCGGAGGAGTTGCCTAATACGGGGGGAGGACTCTTCCGTCTACCCAAGCTCCTGACTTGAGACTGGGCACTCCACCTTGTGCTGTATCTAACTAGAGCAAGGTATCTAATGTCTCAGTTTCCTAGTCTGTGCAAGAGAAGTAGTAATCATCACCTCCAGGCCCAGTGTAGGAATTAGTGGTCTGATGCACATGACAACACTTGGCTTCCATAAATGACTGCTGAGTCTGACTGTGTCATTTTCCTCTCTCGCTTAGAAATTTATGATCTAGAAACAAACGAACACGTAAAGAAGGCCGTACATGACCGACAGATGCCGAAAGTAGAATACAGGAAGATCGAGGTTGACGATTACAGTAAGTGCTTCATTGTCTCCCATTTTTTTAAGTTTATTATTTATTTTGAAAGAGAGCATGCGCACAAGCAGGGGAGGGGCAGAGAGAGGGAGAGAGAGAATCCCAAGCAGGCTCTGCACCTTCAGCACAGAGCCCAGCGTGGGACTCAATCCCACGAACCATTTGGTCATGACCTAAGACAAAATCAAGAGTCGTTCACTCAACTGACTGAGCCACCCAGGCGCCCCTGCATTGTCCTCTTTACAAGGAAAGCAGACATCTACTCTGAAACAGCCCAACCATCAGCAGTAGGTTACTGTGCATCTGAGGCTCCCCCCTGCACCACACTCGCTGGGCTTCATGGCTAGAAATGCATTCCAGCCAGCAAGGAAGAGATTCAGGCAGGGCTCGTGGGGGGAAAGCATCCTGCACCAAGCTATTGTGCTGAGAATCAAGATGCTTCTCTGGCAATTTAAAAAAAAAAAAAAAGCCTCTCCTCAAGAGGCTGACAATTTAAATAAGGTCCCAGGCTGGAATTCTCTCCTTTGGGGGGGACATGTCATGACACCATCCAGAGAAAACGTCCTCCGTGTGGGGATTCCTTTCCTGTTCCATTTGGTATTTTTCTGCTTCATCGTCTAACCTGTCAGTGCTGATCATGGGCCAAGGGGGTATCCTCAGAATGGGGGAAATAATGTAATGGAGGACTGATGTGTTGTAACAACCCAAGAAGCACCCAGAACTCTGCCTTTTCTGTTTCCTTCTTGGTCCTGAACTGTCCATTCGTGCATCCAGTAGGCTTTTATGAGCTCCAATGCTGTGCTGGAACCCACCAGGCACTGTAGCCCCAGAGCACTGGTTGCACTCATAGTTCCAGGGGGGGACGCGGGGTCCCCAAAGGTTCAATCCTCCTCTCTTCGGATGGCTTCCTAGTCAACCCAGCCAGCCCTGGCATCCTAACTGCCCACCAGATGTTTACCTTTGGAAACCCCACATGCAAAATGCCCCAGATACGTCTGTCTTTCCCCCTGAGCTCTATCCCCCTCCAGACTTGCCTACTCTGGGAGATGGCACCCTTCTCTTAAACGATTTAGATTTCCCCCTTGAAGGTATCAACGGAGTCCTTCATTCAGGTCCATCTACCCATCACCTCTGAGGTTGGTAAATGGGTCTCCTCTCTTGAGAAAACTCGACTGATTGATGGTAACTGTTAGAGCTCTTGGTTGAAGAGGAGTAGAAGGTCACCAGTGGTCAATGGGAGAGTATTGAGATTGATTAGTGATGTCCAGACCATCACTGGAAGCTCTTTCTCTACCCAGTCCCTTACAGGGGGACAATGGCTCATCACCTAGGCCAGTGGACCCGGAGCATTATTAAGTACCTCCTTGTTAGCGAAGACACAGCTACCTAACAGACTGATCTCCTATGGTCAGGAGCCAAGGCTCTCCCCCATGAAACAAGATCAGCCTGACCCAAACAGTACACGTGGTCGAGCTGCATCCTTTAGAGCAGAAAGCAAATGGCCCACGAGTTCAGAACAGAGCATGAGAGTGGGCTGGGATCATGGGAAGGTTCCCAAGAAGGTGGGGCTTGGACGGGATCCTTGGAGTGGGCTTTAGGTTGGCACACAGGAGAGCGTGCAGTCCAGGGCAGGGAGCAGCCCCAGCCGGCGCTGGCTGTGGGGTAAGTCAGGAGGCCGACCCGGACTCCCAGCCCGTGGGAGAGCCCCGGCGGTCAGTGGGCACAGAGGGACCCCTGACTTGGAAGCACCTTCCGTCCATCCAGAGGCCACGTGCCAAAACATCCCAATCCTGTTCTTTCCCTGTGGGGTCACATGACGTTAGAACTTTTCTATACATAGCTAGAGATGCATGTGAGGTTACATATTCATCTCTGAGAGTCGGGAAATACGGTGTACTTCAAATCCCTGCCCCCCAGCCCTGGGTCCAGAGGCTTCCCTTATAAAACACCTCAAAGGTGATCCTTCTGATGAAGGAGACGGTGAAGGAAATAAATAAGGAAGGGTCTAGAGATGGGAGAAGAAACAAATAGGAAAAGCACAAACAGGGGCTGTGGCGATTTGCCCTGGCCAAGAAATGTGGTTAGGGCCGCGGGGGTCCCTTCCCACAGGCCCGGGGGTCATTCCCACCATCTCCCTGCCAGTTGGTTTTCCCCTGGGTGTCCATGAGATGCACTCAGATGCCACAGGACACACTCAGCCCTGGAACCACGGACAGCGTTGGGTGCCCAGGGAGCCGAAAGCCCAGCAGGCCGAGCTCAGGCCTGCTTATTCATGAGAGGGAGAGAAGCGGTAAATTAAAAAGACGTCGACGCGGAGAGACTAGGACACAGATGCCTCCATCAGGGCTCAGGGGAAATCGTAGAACTAAACAGAAGGGAGCAGAAAGGGCCCGGGTCCAGGCAGCGTATGAGGACCCACAAGAGCCACGGGAACCCCAGCTCTGATGGCGAGCGTAAGAACCAGCGAGATGCCAGCGGGAAGAACACGGCGAGCCTGTAACACAGCAGCTCTTGTCGGGCTGCCATTGGGACATCAAGTAACCCCGCGCCTCGCGGGCGACAGTGGACGCCTCTCCTGAAGTGGGGCGTGTGCCCTGAGAGTGTCGCGAGCTCCTGGTGGATTCAGCCGAGTAACCAACCAGTAACCGCTTGTTTGTCGCAAATCCCGCCCCCGTCCCTGTCGGAGCGTGTTCTAGAAAGAGAGCCACTCTGGTCAGTTTGGTGTATTCTGCGACAGAGATTCTTTTTTTTTTTTTTTTTTTATTTAAAAAAAATTTTTTTTCAACGTTTATTTATTTTTGGGACAGAGAGAGACAGAGCATGAACGGGGGAGGGGCAGAGAGAGAGGGAGACACAGAATCGGAAACAGGCTCCAGGCTCTGAGCCATCAGCCCAGAGCCTGACGCGGGGCTCGAACTCATGGACCACGAGATCGTGACCTGGCTGAAGTCGGACGCTGAACCGACTGCGCCACCCAGGCGCCCCTGCGACAGAGATTCTTGTCAGTGGAACAGGAGGGCCTGTTCCAAAGAAGTAGGTCAAGGGAAAATGTGGCCTGCCCACACGGATGGCGTCCTTGACTCGTTCCGTTTTTCATGCCGGCCCTGGAGTCCAGTTACTTGGACACTGAAACTCATGAGAACCCTTAAGTAAACAGCAGAGTTTTGTCATTTCCTCCCACGAGGAAGATCCAAAGGGCAAGAAGATAAGATGATTTTAACAGATGCTGGATGGAGGGAGGGAGGAGTGGGAGGATGGATGAGTAAGTGGACCGGCCATCTCCAGGTTTGCTCCGACCCCCTCTCCCTTCTGTGTCTATATCTGAAGACCCCGAGATGGGCTCCGTAACGTGCAGGGCCCAGTGCGGCGTGAGGACGTGGGGCTGTGTGTCCACGGCTCACGACGACAGCCGCGCACGGGGCCCTGGCGCGTGCCACACTCTGTGAAGTCGTCCCGGTGGCCCTCCGTGGCCTGACTTCCGCCTCCTGCCCCAACCCCCGTCCCCGTCAGCAAGTTTTCCGTAACACTCCCTCGCGTTTCCCCACACCCATTGCCTCCTACCACAGCCTCTGAGGCCAGACCGTGCTCCTTTACATGTTTGCTTCTCTGCTGGGCCCAGCGCCCTCCTTCTTCAAGCCTGTCCGCACGCTGCTGCCACAGTAGTTCCGTCCGCTGATGGGTGGACGCCATCCCCTCCAGAAATGCAGAGAAAAGACCTTCGGAAACAATCAATTCTCCCACCCTTGCCACTTGAGATTTCTCTCCAGCATGAAGTTTCCGTGGCAGACGGGAACGCAGGTGCTGGAAACGCAGGTGTGTGCAGGGCACCTAAATGTCACCCCTTTGGGGCCCCCCAAAGATCTGAAAAATGCGACCCTACCGACATGTCTCGTTTCGTTATGTTTTGTTTTTTTTCACCTAATGGCACCAGAGGTGAAGGCCTTCCCGAGGGAAGCGATCCGTCTTCGGGAAGGGCTCCCTGCGCTGTATGCAGCCTGTCGTGGCCAAGGTCGGCCTGCGGGCTTATCGTTGGCCCAGAGCAGCCCAGACCATGTTTTATGGATATTGCAATGATGAAGTCCGACGCCTTTTGGCCGGTCCCTGGGCCATTGATCTAATTTGCAAGCCATTAACATTCAGCCAGAATCAGTAATGAGGCCCCGGTCACAGCAGGCTGCTAAGCCCACCCCCGCCCCCGCCCCCTGAGCCTGGGATGTGTCCGTAGTAATTGTACTGAAAAAGTTACTAATTCCAACGTAATCGCTAATCTGGGTCATAGTTAACATCAATAAACAAGTTCTAACGTGGGCAGGAAGGCTTGTTTTGGGGGTTGCAGAAGAAAGTGGGAAGGCAACCCTCCCCCCTCCCACGCTGGGTCCCTCGCTGCCTCGCTGCCCAGGACAAGATCCGAAGGGGGTCGCGCAGCTGTCCTCCAGCCCCCGCCTCTGCAGGGATCCCCCGGCTCTCGGCCTGTCCCTCTGGGCTGCCCCCCCCCCGGCCTCACCACTGGCCCCCTGGGCTCATCTTGTCCCCGTCCCCATGGCTCCCCCGTATCTGTCCCCACTTAACTGACGAACGTCACCCTTGGGGGTTCATTTCTCGCAGCCTAGGATTCGGCTCTTAACAAGTGCTTATGGCGTTTTGGTCTTTTCTGGTTTTCAGCTCGCTCTGTTTGCGAGCTTGAATTTCAGCTTTGGATGGAGAGACTCAGCCTCAAGATGGCTGTGGGTGATTTGCCCAAGGTCACTCAGCAGGCCGGAGGCACGGAGAGAAAACTCAGGGCCAGCCCCAGGAAGGCGGGGTGGGGACCCACCATGTCGCCTCCAGAGGGCCTTCCTGGCACCGGGGCCAAGGCTCTTTCCTTCCCTGTCTGTGCTGTCCCTAACGCGCGGCCCTGTGCTCTGTTCCTGCCTAGACCTCCCCGTTCAGATCCTCAAGCCCGCGACCTTCACCGACACGGCGCACTACCCCTTGCTCCTGGTGGTGTGAGTATTGTCGCCTCTTTCTTTCTCGGGGTCCTTGCCCGGGGAGTGGGGGGCTCAGTAACAGCACGGAAAACAACCACCGCGCCCACAGGAGATGGCGAGCTCGAGAAAGGAGGTTGCAACCTGCAAACTGAAGGCAGGCTGGCCGCCAGCAGGTGGCAGGCCACACTCACAAGTCAGGGAAGCCGCCTGGTAGAGGAAGGGGGGCTCGAGCCCCGAGCCCCGATCCACTCCTGCTTCGGGACCAGGCCCAGAGACGGACAGCAAAGCTGGTCCCGCAGGCGGGCAGCACGTCACAGGACAGACGCCTTCTGAGCACCGCCCCGCCCCCCCCCCCGGGGAACAGGTCCCCCAAGAAGTGAGGGGACGGGGGGCGGGCACGGCCGACCCGCTGGCTTCCCCAGCTGGCACCAGGGTGGCAGGGCCTGAGCAGCAAGCTGCCTTGAACGCTGCTCCTCTGCCAACAAGGACTTAGTTCACACGTTTTGTTTGTGCGTGAATGAGCCCTCTGGCGGGGTCTGGAGAACAGAGAGCCGCTGTCGCCACCGCTGAGGGGGTGCTGACCGGGGACAGCACGCTCTCACGGGCACCTCAGATGCTGCCCAGCTGCCCTGAGGCTTAGACAGGGGCTGGCCTGTGCCCCCCCGGGGGTGGGGCACACGCCACCAGACGAAGCACTGTCCCCACCCCCCCCGGGGTTCCTTCAAGGCAGGGGTACCAGGGAAACCCTGACGAGGCTCGGGCCTGGCCTCTTGGAGCCACTGCCCCCGCGGTGACCGGAAAGAGTCCGGGAGAGAGTGGGGCCGTCCGCGGTGCTTTAGGAGTGAGCGGGGTCACCCAGGTCCAGTGACCTGATCAGCCCTGCGCTCCTCAGCCGCTCCTGTCCTCGGGCCTCAGCCCTCACACACGTGCCCGCCGCCTGGACCCCGCGATCTGGTGCCGTGTCGCAGTCACCCACCCCACCGTCTGCGCAGCCTTGGCACGCTGCCCACCCCTCTCCCACACGCCCACACCACACACCGGCCTCTCTCACACACACCCCAGACACACACCTCGTAGGTACACACGCCCCTGCATACACACTCTTCAGAGGAGTGTAGGGGAGGAGAGGGGGGAGCCCAGGGGAGGGGGATGCGCAGGGGGAGGGAGGGGGACGGGCGGGGGGGGGGGGGGGGAGCGCGGGGGAGGGAGAGGAGCGCCGGGCCACAGCGCATGCGCGAGGCAGGGCCTGTGTTGCAGGGACGGCACCCCCGGGGGCCAGAGCGTGGCCGAGCGGTTCCAGGTGAGCTGGGAGACGGTGATGGTGAGCAGCCACGGGGCCGTGGTGCTCAAGTGCGACGGCCGCGGCAGCGGCTTCCAGGGGACCAAGCTCCTGCACGAGGTGGGGCGGCGGCTGGGCGCCCTGGAGGAGAAGGACCAGACGGAGGCCGTGCGGTGAGGCCCCCGGGGTGGCGGGGTGCTCAGAGACCATTCGGAGGGCGGGGGAGGACAGGGGAGGGCAGGGGAGGTGGGCGGTAGGTGCGGGGGCGAACAGGACCCAGGAGCGTCTCTCCTCCCCGCCCTAAGGACAGTGGGAAGGGCCAGAGCGCAGCGACCGCCTGCGCTGCTGTCCCGGGAAGGACTCAGGGGCCTGTGCGCCAGTCCTGCTGAGGCTGGCTCCCACGCAGGAGGGTGGGTGGGAGGGCCGTGGACTTGGGCGGCACCGCGCTCCTCCCCGTGGAGGGTCCAGGGCACAGGCTGACACGCTTTCACCGGGGGTGCCATCCCATCCCCCACACGCCTCCCGGGCTCGTGCTCCGCGGTCTGGACAGTTCACTTTCCAGACTCTTCCAGACGGATCTCGGATCTCTCATCTCTCTGGGCTCTGAGAAGGCTGGTGGCCCGTGGCGGGCGGGCAGTCGGATCACTTTTGAGTGACTGGGACGTGAGTGATGAGTGAGTGGCGCCCCCTGCTAGGGGCGGGTGAGGACGCCCCCTGGCCGAGGACGTGATGTGTCCAAGGCCCTGTAAGTGCCCCGTGGAAAATGCAGAGAGGGGGAAGCTTCTGAGGACGCCTCCGGGACGTTTTTGCCAGGGAGCAGGCACACCATGGCCACCGAGCTTCAAAAATAAAGAGCCATTAGGGGCCCCCGGGGGCTCAGTGGGGTCGGACTTCAGCTCGGGTCATGATCTTCCAGTTCATGGGTTCGAGCTACGCGTCGGGCTCTGTGCTGACAGCCCGGAGCCTGGAGCCTGCTTCGGAATCTGCGTCTTCTTCTCTCTGCCCCACCTCTGCTCGTGCTCTGTCCCTCAAAAATAAACAGTAAAAAAAAAAAAATTAAAAAAAATAAGGAACTGTATTGGCTCTGAAATCTAGAGTGATGGTGGCCTCGGGACGGATGGACACACAGACCCGGCCATGCCACTCAAAGCCCGGCTCTCCGCATCCCCCTGCTCAGCTGGCCGTGAGGGCATCACCTGGAGTGACTCTCCTCGTGCCCACAGCATGGCTACCAGGAGCACCTCATTCTGGGCCTCTCCGTTCGCCTCCAAGAGGTTGGGGAGCGAGCCACCTCCAGAAACTTCCAGAAAGGAAGGGAGGAGCCTCCCCAGAAGCCCCCAGCCAACCTCTCCTTACGTGCCCCTGCCTGGTCCAGAACCCGTCACCGGCGAGTGAGAGGTGTGGGCCGTCACCCTGAGACCTAAAGGGTCCCCCCATCCCTGCCAGCGGGGGGAAGGAGGGTGGACAGCCACGTGGGTTCTGTGCAGGAGGGGCGGAGCAGTGGGGGCGGGGCCAGCCAGGAGGTGTCCACCGAGGGAGGCCCCTCCGGAAAAGGGAAGGGGCGCGGCGGGACTTTGTCAGCAGCCCTCTCGGATGGTAGCAGGGCCTCTGGCTCCAGGGGCCCCGGAAGGAAGGACGCAGTGTCCTTCAGGCGCACCCGCGGCCCGCACCCCTGCAGGCGCCTGGCCGTGTCTAGCTTCTCCCCTCTGAGCACAGGGACCAGAGAGCAAAAAGGCTGTTTCACACTCTGGGCGTTTTCAAAACTAAGGATTGATCCGGCCATCTGTTCAAAAACCAAGGCAGAACCCATTCCGGAAAGACAGCATGTCAACCGACAGACCAAGCTTCCCAACACCAGAATACACGAACTGATGAAAACCTTACAGCCACCTTAAGACACGCAGGAAGCCGAGGCCCAGGGTTCGCCCACGCCAGGGAGAACTCTGCAAGCTCTGTGTGCGGTCCGGGTCTGTATTTTGATTTCAGAGAGCAATCACCCCATGGTATCAGAAGTCTGAGAGACCCTGAGGCTGGCCCACCCCTTCTGTGGTTCTCCCGTCTTCGTCCACCTCGTGTCTTGTCCTGGAGCCCCACTGGGTCAGCAGCTGTCCTCGCAGCCGACGCGAGCGGATCCCCTCCCAGGCCCGGCCGCTGCGTTAGGGGAGAGGGCGGCCGTGCGGCACAGGGCGGAACCACACTCACGCTCGCAGCACAGGCTACAGAAGCAAACAGCCCTGCCTCGGGGGCTTCTGGGAGGAGGTGGCCTGTGGGCAAGACCTCAAAGGATTACTAGGGATCTGTCAGGCCGAACGCGACGCGGGAGATACACTTTCCCAGGGGAGAACACATCGTAAGCGAAGACCCGAGGCAATGCAAAGGCACTGCTGTTCGGGGCACGCTGAGCACCAGAACACCACAGTGTGCGTGGGCCGTGGGGGGGGGGGGGGGAGGACAGGGCTGGATTGTGAGATCCCTCCCACATGGTCCTGAGGAGCTGCTGCTTGCCCTATAGGAGCAGTTCCGCAAGAGGTGTCTTCAGCAAGGAGGTGGCAGGGTCAGCTTTGTTGTTCGGAACCGTGAGTCTGGCTGCGGTGCAGCAAATCGCGTGGGTCAGCGTCCTGGCGCTCAAACTGAGTCATTCCGGGGGGCAGACGGGTCACCGTGCAGTCTGCGGGGGCGCGGGCAGGGTCAGGGACAGCCAGTGAGGCTGCGGTAGCCACAGCAGGAGCAGCTACCGGCCCAGAAGAGAACCTCGGCCACGGGGAGGGAGCACCTGACGGGGGGCCGTGCCCCCTGCCGGCTCCCCCCACTGGCAGAACCCACTAGACGCCAGAGGACACGGGAGCCATTGTGGCTGTTCGTAGGGCTCATCCTCGGAGGCACCGAGCTCAGCGGAGCCCCGTGGACAGTGAGCGAGGGGAAGCGGGAAGGAGGAGACGCCCGTGGGGACGAAGAAGGAAGAGGGTGGGGAGACGAGGAACCTTCCCCAGCCCTGGCTGCTACGTGGGTGTGGCCTCGTGGCCCCCAGAGACCAGCCCAGCAGGCGGGGCGACTGCCCCTGGCTATCAGTGCCCAAGCCGTGGCCCACCAGGAGGGCACGGTCCCGGCTGACTGGGCAGGACCACGGCGTCCGTGAGTGGGTGCTTTGGGGACCGCCAGGTGGCAAGGTGGGGTGCGCCTGGGAGGTGTTTCGGGGCAGAGTCCCCAGGCTGGTCAGCGAGTGCACGTGGAGGTGGGCAGGGCGCCCTGCCGCGGAGCCGGAGTCAGGAGCCCCCGCCTGTCGCACCGAGCTGGAAGAAGGCGCCGGCCATGTTTCTTCCTCCTTCCGCCACCGTTGCCCCCTCTTTCTTGCCAGATCCAGGCTCTGGCTGGGGGCTTCCCCCACTCTGAGGCGGCCGTGTGGACCGTGGCACCTGTGTCAGCTGGGGTCCCCAAGAAGGATGCCAGCGTGGACTCAGCAGACGGTGTCAGCAGGGCTGTTTGCAAAGGATGCCGCGGTGGCCACCAGACTGCAGTGGAGTCTGACACCGTGGAAAGGGGAGGGGCTTGGAGGACAAAGCGGGTACGGGGGCTTCCGGTGGCAGCGAGGCTCTGAGAGTCCCCACCAGCATGACGGGAGCCCATCGCCGAGACAGGGCAGGATCCCATGCCAGGCAGCCGGGCGTGGCCGCAGGGCCCCTGCCACACTCAGTCCCCGGGTTGGGATGCTGTGGACGCCACGGAGGGTCAGAAGATGTGACCGCCGGTGGTCGGCGGCCCCCTCAGGGCTGCTTCTCTCAAGGGAGGAGGGACGGCACGCAGGGTGCAAACTTGTACCCTGTCCCCCCCGAAGTTCCACACTGCCCCACAAACAGCCCCGCTCACCCAGGACCCCGTGCCGCCATCTCCCAGGTGTTCTCCCGTCCACATGGTTCCCACCCACCCTGACCAGCGCACGGCTCCCCCCTCGGGTCCCCCTCGCTGCGCTAGGCTCCTTTAGCAGTGACCCCGCCACACAACGGACATACGTCCCATCATGCCACATCATCAGTGCTGCTGCCTTGTCACCGTGTTAGTCCGCCCTCCCCCAGGAGACGATGCATCTTGAGGGCTGGAGCCCATCCCCCCGGGCCTCTGCAAATCAGCAAGGAACCAGACTCAGAACACGCTCCATTAAGAAAGACACCCATGGGGCGCCTGGGTGGCTCAGTCGGTTAAGCGTCCCACTTCGGCTCACGTCATGATCTCGCCATTTGTGAGTTCGAGCCCCGCACCAGACTCTGTGCGGACAGCTCAGAGCCTGGAGCCTGCTTCAGATTCTGTGTCTCCCTCTCTCTCTCTGTCTCTCAGAAATAAATAAATGTTAAAAAAAATTTTTTTAAAAAGAAAGCACTCTGATGGGTTCTGCCTCTGCTTTTCACGAGGCCTCAGACAACCCCAGTAATAAAAAAAGCGCTACCTGCATGTGAAATCGGGCTCTCCTTAATTTGCAGTTCTATTCACCATAAAAAAAATCATCACATGGGATTTGCTCGGTTGGTTAATGAAAATAGAAGCACAAGATAATAAAAATATTTGGTATTGGAAAAACAACCTCTCTTGGAAGACTCCAGAAAAACGAGGGTCATTACCAAGGTTTCTGGCATTTAGATCAAGAAGTGAGTGGCCAGGTAATTAGGTGAAGGGATTGCCAGACCCTGGGCCGCCTGTGGACTTGGAAGCAGAGCTGAGAAAGGAAATCCAAGGTGTTTTCCAAGTTGGGATGGAGCCCTTTGTGGTGCACATCGCCCACACCACACTCCGTGGTCCCCACAGACTGCCACGTGGATCCCAGCAAGTGTGATCTGGATGTCCAGCCGTGGGGCAGCATCCTCGTGGGGCCCCCCGGCGGGCTGGTTGTGAAAGCTTGCTGAGCCAGAGCATCTGACGTGTGCCCAAATGCACGTCTGAAAATCCAGGGTTTGGGTCTCCAGGAGGAAGTCAGGGAACTTGCAGAAATGTCCCTGCTGGGTCCAGATACGTGGGCAGAACTCTGCAGCCCACGACCCAGTGTGTGTGTGTGTGTGTGTGTGTGTGTGTGTGTGTGTATGCGCACATGTGGACCTCCACATCCCGAGTCTGGCAGAGGTGATTGGAGGTCTATGGGGCTACCCTATGACACCCACACAACATTTTTCAAAAGCAAGTTTATTAAAGTGCTGTAAGTCCCCAGGGCTGGAGCATCACAGTTGAGGTGTGTTGCCTTTTCTCTCCCTTGAGTAACTTTCTGTGGACCTACTTGTCGTATCTCTCCCTTGTTTCCGGATCCTGCTCACGCTGTTAGTATTTCTGTTCAAATGCTGAGACACATTCGTAACCTGTCCACTCCGGTTTTCTTCTCTCTTCTGCTCCTGTGGGTCTGGTCATCTCAAGGACCAGCTTCAGCTGTTTTCGCCACCTTCCTCCGTCGGAAAAGTCGGGGGCATTGCTGCTTCAAGCTGGGCCCTCAGCCCCCAGGAACTTGTGTCCATTTACCTTGGACATTGGCCATGGAAGCGCGGTGCTGACCACGGAGGACTGGCCTTGTCCTGGGACGCGGGGTGGGGGAGTCATCTTAAGGAAAAAAATTGTCTCCGAGGGCTGGTACCCAGAGTTTTAGACACCCTTCAGGCTGAGAAGGGCGGTTATCAGGGATGGGGTGGCTCCAGCCTGCCAGCAGAACACAGAAAACAGAAACAAAGGAATAACCCCCAAGAAGCAGATAGAAACAGAAGGAGCAGTGCAGGGAGGGGCTCTGGCAGCGGGGTGTATGCGTGGAAGGAAGCAACTTGCAGAGATCCGGAAAGCAGCCGGTCACGTGCCAGCAGGTAGCAGGACCCTTGCTGCTGAATTAGGGCCCGGAAACCAGGAAGATTCCCGTCATTTCGTGGGGAAAAGGGGTGACCGGGGAGAGCAGTGAGACTCTGGCAAGGGCAAGGCAGGACCCGGACAGCGCTGGGCAAGGCAGGAAGCACAAGGCAGGGCTGAGTCTGCCACCAAGCAGGTGCAAGACAGGGACCCCCACCTGGGAGTTGGGGACAAAGGACATTGCAGGTGGATTGGGAGCCCAGCACCGTGACTCCAAGCACAGAACCAGAGTGTCTGTTCTCCAGGCCAACCCCGCAGGACACGCCCAGAGTCTGGGGTGGCTAGAAGCCACATGGTCCAAGCGAGGGGCAGACTGGAGCAGAGGACAGGGACCCAGCAGGGCCTGGTCTCCGGATCGGCATCAGCTGCTTTGCATTCCTGGCTCTCGGTCGGCAAGTTTCACACACCTGGACAGCTCCTGTGAGGGCACTTTGAGGTTTCTAACATGGGCAAGCTACATGTGCGCTGAATAGAGAAAAGCAACAATTATCTTCGAATTCCGATACTTCTTTGATTTACATGGGGGGTCTTCGTGCCTGAAATGGTGGGAAAGCACGGCTCTGGGCCACCATGCAGGTGCACAGTCACTCAGCCCTCTCTTCTTTGGCCTTGCAGGATGATGCTGAAGGAACAGTACATCGATAAGGCGCGTGTGGCCGTGTTTGGGAAGGTGAGCCTGTGCCCAGCACCCATCCCATCGAGAGCACTGCCATCACCCAGGCCCGGTCTGATTTGCTCAGAACGTCTCTCGGCCGGTGCTATGAGAGCAGCTACGTTTTTTTAAGAGCGAGAGGTTGGACGCTTAGCGATTCCAGCAAGGGGAGCCACCATTTGGCCAGCTTATTTATTAGAGTTTCGCTCTCTCTGTTATCTAGAAGGAAAGAAAAACAAGCCAGGTTCATTAGGTTCCTAGTTACTTTTCTTATGCAAGCCCGCCGTGGTGCCTGATGTGGTGCCCCAGGAAACGAGGGAACGCAGGAGCCTTTATTTCCGCGTATCTTTTATGTGCACTAGTCAGGTTAGCTGACGTGGAAGGAGTCGGCAGTTCACGTTCCTCGGGGTGGCCCAGCTGGTGCTGTGCAGGCCCCGGGGCTGCAAGGCAGGCCTGTGGGGGGCCACCTAGTACCACCTGGGCACACACTCCCCCCCCATTCTTAGACAGCCTGGATCCGTGAGCCTTAGACTTCGCAAGGCACAGGCACAGATGGATAGACACAGATCCATCGCCCCTCCGAGGGGACACTCAGAGCACAGGCCCTCGGGGAGCACCTCAGTGACCACAGTGCAGGTGGAGACTCGAACGGTAATCGGTAATCACAGGACTACCTCTAACGTCATCACCTCTGGACCATCCGTGCCCAGCGTTCTGTGGGGCCAGTGTACAGTTGAGACGTGGCACCATGGGCGGGTGACCCCAGACACCCTTCCCACACCCCCGCTGGCACCACCAGAGGTGAGGCGGTAAAGGGGAGGGCCCAGGGGCTTCTCTCTCAGGCGCAGCGTTCTGGAGCTTCATTCCATGCTGGTGGAGACCCACTCACTGCCTGAGAGGGGCTCAGAGCCAGTCGGATCATCTGTAAGCGTAACTCTGGGCGTCGGCATCTATCACCCACCCGCACCCACCCGGGAAAGTTGCTGCCCTATGGACTGCCTGCCGGGTCACGGCCCCTGGCCTGGGCCTGTCTCTGTTCAGTGCTTGCTCCTCCTCAAACACTCACACAGCCTCTTGAGACGGGCTTCTTTCACTGAGCAGTACGCGTTTAAGGCTCTTCTCAGGGCTCCATAGCTCGTTACTTCTCTGCACGGAGTAATAGCCACGTACCACAGCCCATTGGTCCGTTCACCGACTTGCGAGTTTTGGCAATTATGAATGAAGCTGAGGGAACCCTCCATGTGCAGGTTTTTGTGCGGATAAAAGTTTTTCCCTCCTTTGAATAAATACCAAGGAGCACGATTGCTGGGCCACAGGGTAAAAAGTGTGTTTAGTGTTGTAAGAAATCCCCACGCTGCCTTCTAAAGTGGCTGCCCCGTGCGGCATCCCAGCCGGCAGTGAGTGAAGGTTCCCTGTTCCACGTCCTCACCAGCATTTGGTGTTGTCAGTCCACACTTTTTTTGAAAACAGATGGCAGAATGACTTTAAGACTTCCAGATTCCACTGACAATGAAAATTATTAACCAGAAACCAAAAAGACACTTTTACTGTCATTAAGATAAGACATTCGTGTTGTGTTGAGGGAACGCTATTAAGTTATAATGTAACGAGCATATAGGTCATAACGGTTAATTCTACAGTGAGTTTGGCACAGCACGGGCTACACACAGAGTCTCTGTCAGGTGTATGGCTCCTTCACACTCGATCCTCCCACCCAACACACACACGTTCACACACCCACACACCCACACACACGCCTTCCCATACAGAACACACAGACCCCCCCCGTGTACACTTATGCGCACACTCATGCACACACAGTCACGCACACACAGACTCACACACACATACTCCCTACACACACATGCCCACACAACACCGTTAGCAGCCCCCATATCCTTAACATACCTGGCTGTCTCGAGCCCGCGCCCCTGTCCCTTCCCACCGCCGCTCATCGCAGCATCTCATCTGTGTCCCACTCCTCTGGGATCTGGAGACAGAGCACATCTGAACCAAGCAGCCTTGAAGGTGCCCGTGGCAGATAGCCTGTGACGTTTCACTCTCCCCGGAAGGCCCGCGTTCAAGCAGGGGCCTTGCGTGCCAGCCCCAAGGTAGAGGGACTGTAGGACGAGAAGGACCTGCCGTGCCCCCTGTCGGCCCTGAGCGGGGCACTCTGGCCGACCAGCCCCCGGGCCCTTTGACACAGGCTCCTTGTTGGCCCCTGACGGTCACCTCCCGTGGCTGGGTCCGCCGGAGTCAGGAAGGTAGCTCGAGGCGCTGCAGGAATATGCTGGTTCGGCAGGGGCCTGACCTGCGACCGCAGCTCCCGTCACGTGGCTCCCATGACCCCAGGCCCACAGACGGGAGGCGTGCCTCACGCAATATCTAACTGACAAGGTGTTTGCCTCTCATCCTTCTTTGCTTTTTGGCAGAAACTACATGACAGTGGCCGCTGAGTCGCCGACCTACGTCGGAGGCTGTTGTCGTGACAGAATCCTCGACGCGTTGCCCACGTGTCCCCCTTTCTGTCTCTCGCAGGACTACGGCGGGTACCTGAGCACTTACATACTCCCAGCGAAGGGTGAAAACCAGGGTCAGCTTTTCACCTGTGGCTCTGCTCTCTCTCCAATAACAGACTTCAAGCTCTACGGTAACGGTCTTGACGCGACGAGGCCCCCGCACGGCCCCATGCCTCCCGTCCCGCCACACTTCCCCTGCCTCCCTTGCTTCATGCACCCACGGTGGGTGGGAGGCGACCCGGGCTAACGAGAAACCTGGACAGAAGCCTGGGAAGGGGAGGGAGGGCTTCCAGTCACTTGTTTGAATGAAACCGGTCAACCCCCCGAGACCCGTAAGTCACGTTCCCGACACACGAGACCAGGAGCTCGAGACCCACCCAGGGGTCCCCTGGCCGACCCCTCCCCGGTGCCCCATCTCAGCACCCGGGACCCCGTGGACTGTGAGGACCTCTGACTCCTGCAGCCGAAAGGCTCACAAAGACACGTTGACAAAGTGCTCTAATGCCAACGTGAACTTGTAGTCCCAGCACTCCCCTCCTTCAAACACGTAATAATTTAAAATTCGTTTTCCCATGGGAATACATGTAATGTATTTCAGATTTTTTTCAACTCAGTGAGACTTTCTTAATTTTTTTAATCATGCGGGTTCAAAGGTGCCTGACTCGGATGCACATAAATGTACCATCCTGCACCTTGATAGGTCACAGCCGCAGGTGGGGGAATCCTCCAGTGCCGTCTCCACTTAATTAAGGGTGTCCCTGTGACGCCTGGGTGGCTCGGTCAGTGAAGCGTCTGACTTCGGCTCAGGTCACGATCTCACTGTTTGTGGGTTCGAGCCCCGCGTCGGGCTCTGTGCCAAGAGCTCGGAGCCTGGAGCCTTCTTCGGATTCTGTGACTCCTCCTCTCTCTGCCCCGCCCCCGCTCATACACATTCTTTCTCTCAAAAATAAACAAACAGTAAAGAAACAACACTGTCAAGTCAACATTAAAAAGAGAACGAAAGATCCCCCCTGCCCCCTGCAGAAGTGTTTGGTGCTTCCTCCAGCCTGACTTTGCCGACAGGCAGACGTCAGACTCTCACCCAGGACTGGACGCAGACATGCCTAGTGTTTAAAACCAAACAAAACAAAAACAGAAAAGGAGCAGATCCTGATGGCAGTCTGCTCTTCGGGATCTGTAGCCTTTCCTGTATTTGAAACAAAGCGAGGGCTTATCCTGCTCACGGGGTTTCAGAGTCACTGTTTCACGCGGTTGAGGTTTTGCTGTATTGCTTAAAAGCCAGCCACCAACTCTAAGACACTCGAATGTTACCGGGGTGCTGTCTGATTACCTGCGTGAAGCCCCGCAGGCTGAGGCGGTGTTTTAGAAACAAACGTTTGCCCTGAAAGTGTGGGTGAGCCCACCCTCCCTGCCCCAGCCCCCTGCCAAGGGCGTCCCCGCATCGGGGGGCTCGGCACCGGCTCCCCTCGGGTAACCCTGCCCCCCTCTTCTCGTTTCCAGCGTCTGCGTTCTCCGAGAGGTACCTGGGCCTCCACGGACTTGACAATAGGGCATACGAGGTACATGTGGGCAGGATGGGGAATCGGGCGAGCTCGGGCCGCCCCTCCAGAAATCCTCTCTCGCGCCCCTCTGGCCCCCGGCCCGGTGCTGGGACCCACGCTCCCTGCCCGGGCCTGCTGGGCTCCCCCTCTCCCCCACCAAACTCGCTCTGAGAAAACCTTCCACCGGCCATGAACCCTGGTGAGCGGGGGCCTCTCCTGGGTCTGTCCGCTTTCCCTTTCTGGCACCCGAGAGGCAAGAGGGGAGTTAGGAAAGTGTTCAGACAGACAGAGGGTCTGTCCCGGGATCCACGGTCGTCGGCACGGGTGACTGCCGGTCCCTTCATCCAAGGCTGGTTCTGCTTTGAGGAGATAAGCCCCTGGGTGGGCTACAGAAAAGTTCTCCGATACCACCTGCCAGGCCATAGCCACCGAAGTGACTCAGTGCAGGTGTCACCTGGGTGTTTCTTCAGCGGGGTGAGGGGGGCGTAAGGGGGAGGCCGGACTTCTGTTGCCCGGAGGACCTGGCTTCAAAGCTGGGATTTGCGCGTGGACCACGGGACTCTCTGGCCGGGGTGTCATCTCCCAGTGGCACCGGCTGAGATGGTGGCCCTCTGGGGCCACCTGCCGTGGGCGGAAGGGAGCGCTCCTGTGCCCTCTTCTCTTCCACCCCTTCCTCCTCCTAAGAGGAGCTCATGCAGGGAGGCTTCTGGGACGCTCCGTGCGCTCCCCTCCCCTGCGAAGCCCCCGCTTCTCCCAGGACGAACACCTCGCTGGCTGCGGTGAGGCCCGCTAACTCTGTCCCCTTGCCCTGCCTGTGCAGATGACCAAGGTGGCTCATCGAGTGTCAGCCCTGGAAGAGCAGCAGTTTCTAATCATTCATGCAACCGCTGACGGTGAGGACCGGGGACGCTCATTCCCTGCACCGCCCCTGATGGTGTGCTGGGTTTAACCCGTACTGTCCTCTTTTTTGTTTTCTTTAACAGAAAAAATCCATTTCCAGCACACGGCGGAACTCATTACACAGCTAATTAAGGGGAAGGCTAATTACAGCTTACAGGTACAGTATTTGCACACCCACTCTGTTCCACGCTTGGAGAGACACATTCTTCTCGTGGAAAAGGAACTGATTGGTATTCCGTTCATCCCGTGTCTGCAGACGCACCCGTGTCGCGGCTGTCAGAGACAGGCCGGGGCACGTCGGGCCAGACGAGTTAGCGCGTGCTTATTTTCTCCACTAATTGATGCTGATGGCTCGGTTCTACACTCGAGCTGTGTGCAAAACCCCTGTAGCACACCCCCCCCACCACCACCCAGTCCCGCGGTGAGCAAGGTCAGGACAGCCACCACACCACCACGGTGAGGCTGGTGGTGTCCCTGGCGGGTGACAGTGGGACTGTTGTCCCAGTGTTGACCAGAGCAGCATCCTGGGGGCCTTGGGGGGCTTTACACGTGCAGGTCCTGAAACTTCTCTCACTGGCCTCCTGCCAGACAGTACCACACGTTAACTAAATTCTGGAGGAATGTTCCAGAATCATCTGTGGCTGAGCAGCCGTTAGAGTGCTACCCTTCCCATGAAACGTACTCACAGCCTCGTTCTCCCTGGCGTCCAGTACTGGCCCAGCAGCTCAAGGCTGGGCTTTTTCCAGCAATGCACAGTGCTGCTTCTGGAAACATCTTCTGTTTCCTTCTTGACCAGGGGTTCCCTTTGGCAAAAAAGACCCCGATGGTCTTTTCACGTCCAGGGATCAACGGGAGATTTCCTCCCCTAAGCACCCATCAGCCCTCAGACAGCACCGGCCCCAGCACCGACCGCTGCCTGCCTTCTGTCTCCAAGCCCCTGGTCTCTTCTGGCATCGCTGTCTTGGAGGGACGCGTGTGTCCCTGCAATGAGGGGGCTTGGCCTGAGCTGCTGAAGGGGGAAGAGAGGACTTGGTTAATGTGACCTCTGAGCTCACTTTGCAAGTGTTCAGATCGTAGTGAGTTTGATAGCTGCCGGGGTGTAAATACATTTTACGCACCTAGCGCAGCCGTGGTGGGTTACAGGGTCAGTCTCTGTGTGTGGGTGTGGATCGCTCACCCAAGATGCAGACTAAGCGAAATCGGCAAGCTTTTGAGCAATATGCATTGTAGACCGCACTCGAGACAGCGAAAGGGATCCACGCCCAGCACCGGGCCTGCAGGCACAGCAGAGGTTTTCACAGATCCTCAGTGAATTTGCAACAGTAAGCAACTCCAGAAAAGGGCACAGGGACAAGGGACCCGGGTAGGAAGAGACGTGCCTCCTGCTCTGTGTCCTTCTGTACCACAGACATTCTACCGTATACATAATAGCTCACTCCCATCAGTAATAACTACTCTAAAGTAACGGTGAATGCCCGCCTCCAGAGACACAGAGGAAGACAGGATTCAGAACGCGGGAGGCAGCAGGTGTCACGGGAAGAAAGTGGGCTTCCAGGTCAGTGAGACTTGGCTTTGAGTCCCTGCCGGAACAGGTTCCTTTGCGTGGAAATGGTGTGGCGCCTCTAGGATACGGGGATGGCCATTCACATCGTCTTCTTCGCGTTCCCCGTGTCCTGGCCTCGTTCTAAATGCTTCAGGGAGCATAACGTTTAATCCTCACAAAACGATATGAGCTGGATTCGGTCACGGTAATCATCTCCACGTAACACAGCTGGAAACTGAGGCCCAGGAAAGTTACCTGCCCACGGTCAGAGGGTGAGCCAAACGCGGGTGGCCAGGCCCCAGAACACAGCAGCAGGATCCGGCCTGTGAGGGTTGTAGAGAGAGCACAGAACACTTCCCGTGTCTTTGGGGATCCTGGGCCCTGGGCCGGAGCCTCTGTGGTCCCGGACCTCGGATCTGTCCTTGCCGCAAATGCAAACCAGACGGACGGCACAGACGGCACCGAGTCTGGTGACCAAAGCGTGGTCTAATTTAGGCACCCGGTGCCCTGAGTGCCCTGACGCCAGCACTGGAGGGGTTTAGGAAATCCATTGCTCGGGCCGACTCCAAGCTGCATGCGGTGCCCGGGCCGTGCTGGGTTTGGGGGGTGGGGGGGGCGACCACCCCAGCGGCGAGTAACCTGTCCCCGCCTTCCCCGCAGATCTACCCCGACGAAAGCCATTACTTCCACAGCGCCTCCCTGCACCAGCACCTGTACCGGTCCATCATCAACTTCTTTGTGGAGTGCTTCCGGATTCAGGACAAACTCCCCGCAGCCACAGCGAAAGAGGAGGAGGAGGAGGACTGACCCGGGAGCCGGAGCCAGAGCCAGCCCTGAGCACGGCGGGGGCTCCCCCTGGAACAGTGTGCGGCCGGGACCCCGCCCCCCTCTCCCGCAGAGGCCGGGTCGGGGCAGCAAGTGTGATTTCCATAGCATGTGTCCCGAAGGCGGTTTTGCTTCAGAAACCAGCTCCTTCCCAGGCCGAGACGCGTCATCGCCCCCCCGAGGGCCCCTCCCCGCTGCGCCTGGAGCCGCCGCCGCCGCAGCAGCATCGCCTCCTCCTGGCCCCAGGGTGACCGGTGCATCCCCCGGCCCCTCCCCAAGGAACGAAGGACGGACAGCAATGCAGAAACCGGCCCTTAAATCCCAGCTCTCCCGCAGTAGCGCAAAGACCCGCCCTGGCCAGCGGCCGCGTCCACATGAGCAGTTTTCCACCCTGTCTGATACACCCACGCCATGGAAACGACTATAGCACAATTATTTTAGCAGTACTTGTTCATAGATCGGCTCGCTCCTTTCTGTAATTCGGAGATCCGGCGTTGTCAGGGCTGAACCCGGTGTTCCCGTAGCTTCGCTAATGGTTAACCTTACGGAATTAATTCGTATTTTTCTATGGTTTTTACCTGGCACTGTCTCGGGTCACGGGCTGTCTCTCCTTCTTTGTGTCTCTCCTTCTTTGTGTTCTTTCTTGGCTTTGTTTGCTTTCTGTTCTTCGGTCCCCGTGTAGGCTTTGCACTTGTTTGGATAAAGAAACACATCAGAAGCAACGAACTGCTCTCTCCTCAAGATTGTCTTGAGACTTTGTGCAGAAATTTCAAAAACCTGAGGGGAACGAACATCCAGTACTACACTAAAAAAAAAAAAAAAAAATCCTAAATAAAACTTCTTTCCCACGAAGCTGCATTGGGATTTGGCTCAGACTCGCAGTATCCACGTATGTCTTGTAGCCTTTTTCCCCCTGATACCTTGTCAAGGCTTTTCAGATGGCATTTGGTTAAAAAAAGGTAAAAAGACTAAGCCTGGACTCCATCCCCAGGTCTGTGCGCGTGTTTAGGGGACAGGCCAGGGAAGCGTGGGCGCGGGCGGTGGCCTCCCGCCCCGGGGACGGCTCGGCGGCCCCGCCACCGTGCGCCAGCAGCCTGTCCACGTGTCACACACCCTCCGACGGGACGAACCCCCGGTGCTCCCGGTGTCTATTTCATTTCGTTGTATATAAAGACCGGATCGGGCCCCGGCCCTCCACCGGCTCATTTCGCCTGCATGCCGCCGCTCTGTGGCTGACCCGCACTCCCCACCAGTGCCAGTCGGAAATGCATCGATCACTCTTGTTTTCCTCGGAGCTCGTCGACCACCTGAACAGCAGGACTGACCTCTCCAGAGTCCGGTCCTGCCGGAGGGTCCTTGACGTGCCGTCGGCAGAGATCTGTCCGCGTCGCTTTTCGGTGTTTGAGGGCGTGGGTCTCGTCTCCGCGAGTTTGCAATGTGAGTTGCGGTTAGCGCCATTGGAGGGTCTCCGTCACCGGATTTTTTTCGGGTGAGATGTCGTCACTTGGCGGAAAGGACGACGCGTGAGCAGCCGGACCGCTGTGAGTGCTACGTGACCGTGCTCTCGCTGTTCTCAGCGGGCTTGACCGACTGCAAAGCCGACTAGGTCCGACAGGGGAAGCCAGCTGTGGCCGCGAGATCTGGCAGGAGGGGAGTGAGCATGTGGCATACTAGCGTTTGTTCATCCATGGAATAAAACATTATTTTACCACTCGGATAGCTCTTTTCTTGCTTATCCTCCACCATCTCTGCTTAGGAAGTGTGCAAAGCGTCAAGTGTCTCAAGGTACTTACTGAGCCCCAACCATGGATGCATGTCCGCAAGAGCCTGGTGGGCGGCAAATAAAAACCGCACCTGTGGCAGTGGGGTACGGACGGAAGGACAGGACCACTCAAATGTGTCAAAAGTCCCAAACCAACCAGAGAAAATGAATTTCAGTCGCGTCTTTAAAGTTTTAGGGTGAGGGCACAGAGATATTCCCTAACACTAAGAGCAAACCTGTCTCTCAGTCGAGACCACAGCATTGCCCGCTAGAAAACTAGGAAAACCCCCATCTCGGTGGCATTCCCTGGCACACGGGCTGCCTCGCTCTCAGAGGTGTGCACGAGGGGGTGGGGGGCGGAGCTCTATCCTCACTGGCCTGAAAACACGCCCCTCCCTCTCCTGCCTGACTGAGCAGTATCCGAACGATGATTTTGTGAAGGCTTGATTGCCTTCTGGAAGCCCTGTTAAAGCCCCAGTGTCACAGAGGGACTGGAAAGACATTTCAGGCCCCCTCTGGCCGTCTTCCGTTAGCATGTGGTGTGAGTTCTTAGGATAATCACAGGAGACACCGGGAAGCCTGGTGAGATACTGGATACGCAGACAGAGGATGTCCCCAGATCATATGTAAACACAGAGCTCTGACCCCCCAACCCACGGCCACCAGTCGGGGAAGCCAAGCCGCGGTCTGCAGCAACCAGCCCCGAACGGCCAGGCCTTGATCAACACCCGCCAGCTTCCCTCGCTCTCGCCCCCACCTCCAACTTAGGACTGATGGGGAAAGCCAAATACACCCCCCAACCAACCGCCTAGGATTCTGCTTCTGGTCAGCCCTCCTGACTTCCCCACGCCCACGGCCCCCAGCAGGGCACACCTGACCCCCTTTTCCACGGTGCAGCTCCCCTCTGCCAGCTCGGAGTCCCCCCCCCCCCTCCTCCCGCCCCAGCACAAGGGATGGAGACTGAGCCCCGGAGCTCCACGCTCCAGCCGGCTGGGAGCTCGTGGCCCTGCTCTCTCTCACGCTGGTGGTGTCTTAGTCCGCTCAGGCTGCCGTGAGAAAACCCCACAGACGGGGCACTCACACAATAGGAATGTACTTCTCACAGTCTGGAGGCCGGAAGTCCAAGATCAAGGTGCCGGCTGATCCCGTGCCTGGTGAGAGCTGTCCTCCCGGTTCATAGACGGCCGCCGCCATCTGGCTGCGTCCTCACAGGGCAGAGAGGGAGGGGCCGGGTGGGGGAGGGCGCTCTCTCTTCCTATCGGGGCGCTAACCCCACCATGGGGTCCCACCCTCATGACCTCATCTAAGCCTAATTTCCTCCCAACGACCCCACCGTGTAAAACCACCACCCTGGGGGTAAGATCCCAACCCAAGAATTTGGGGAGGATACAAACATTCCGTCCCTGGCAGGTGCTCTTTATTTAGTTTCCGGCTGGCAGAAAACAGGTGTTGGAGAGGAGTTGCTGAGGAGCGGGTGGGAGCCCTGGGGGCCAGGAGGAGGGAAGGAGGGGGAGGAAGGGAGAGGGACAGGGACACGAGGGGAGAGAGGGAGGGAGGGGGTCCAACCCCGGGGACACTGCCTCCGAGCGGGGCTCCCCAGAGAGTCGGGATGGGCCCTCCTGCAAACCACAAGCTGCAACGCTGCCATCGGCCCCCGAGCCCCATCACTCACTGCACGGATCGGATCGGGGAGCTAGAGCCCAGGGGAGGCAAGGCGGCTGCCCCCCAACCCGGAAAGGCAGCGGCACTAGGTGCTTCTTCCCCTCACTGTTTTCTCGTGGGGAGAAGCTCCAAAGGCCAGGTTCCCGAGCCTCACAGGCGCCGCTGGGGCTCTCGGCCTCGTCAGCTCTGGGGGCCCAAGCCCCCGGCCAGCACGGAGCCGGCCTCGGTGGAAACGGGTGTCAACGTCTGGGTTCCGAGCAAACCCCAGGTGGGGCCTCCTTGCTAGGAAGTCTCGCGTTGCATCAGCGCTGGCAGTTCTGCCGTTCTGTTTCCCAGGCTGGGATCTGGAGCGACACAGGGGAGCGGAAAGGCCCCAGTCAGCCGCACCCTCTACAGCGCGGCCCTTGAGCTGTGGTGCTCACCAGAACCCGCGAAGGCGCTCTGCAAAGTAGACCGAAAGCCCCAGGACACGGACGCGCCCGTGTGCACCCGTCCGCACTTGAGAGGCACCACGCTGAACGCCGCGGCTCCGGCTGGTCTCTCTGCCCCAATTCCCCTTGAACCCAGAACCAACCACCTCACAGAGGCTTCCCATTTCCTGTGGGCCCGTGTCCGAACTCCTGAATCATACCTTACAGTGCCCCCAACCCCCCAGGCCCAGCTTATCTCACAGACTTCCCCTCCCCTGACTACCCTGCACACGCGGCCCGGCCACGCGGCCAGGCTCTCCTCTCCCTGCACGAACCCCACACGCCGCTGCCCCTACACGCGCTAGCTGCCTTTACCGCGACTTCCCCTTTCACAACAATGATTCCCAGCCACTCGGACACCCCGGCCTGGATCATCGGCGGCCGTCCTGTGCAGGCAGGGAGCTTAGCTGCTCGCTGCCCTCTATTTACCAGATGCACTATTTACCATGACAGTCAAATATGTCCCCCAACATCGCCCCGTGTCCCGTGGAGAACAACATCACCCCAGTCGAGAGTCAGATCTGTTTAGATGCTAGGCCAGGTTCACGGGCTAACTGAACAACTCTGCACTTGCCCAACCCTGGGAGGCGGCATCGCCTTGGACCTCACAGCCTACGTGTCTTACCTGCCTCGTCTTAGGGCCCAGCCTTACTGCACAAAGCCTTCCCTCGCTTCTGTTCTGGAAGGTGTCGAGAGCTCTATGCCCATAGAGAGTTTATTCTGACTCGTCAAATATCTGTTTGCTAGATCTGAAGCCCTGGGAGGGCTCTGCTTCTGCTGGGGCTCCTGAGGCCTGACTCCTGTGACCAAAGAAGACTGCCGAGGTGACCGCGGGCCTCTCCAGGCTGGGCCGTTACAGGTACTGAAGCTTCTGCCTCGTCTCTGGGATCAGGCTGTGAGGACGCTCAAGCAGCCCCAGGTGAGGAGCTGAGGTCTCCCCCCACAACACCCAGGACGCACGAGGGCACCGCTTTGGAAGTAAGTCCTCCGGCCCCATCAGTCCTACGGAGGCTGGTGGCCGGAATCTGCCAGGCAGGCCACGCTCGAGTTTCCAACCCTTAGAAACGGAGCTGATAAATGAGCATTACTGTTCCCGCCCCTGAGTTTGGAGTAATCTGTTACATGGTGTCCGATAATATAACCCTGACCGTCCCCCTTCCCGTTAGCTATGGAAGAAGCTGGGGACGCACGGGATGCCCCATAGATGCCGCAGACTCCCCCCCGCCCCCCTCCCCGGTCTGGCTAAGGGAGTGGCCCCAGGCATCAGACACCTGCTC